TTTTTTTTTTAGTTGCAAAATCCACTTGAACATTACGCTGCTTTCTTCGAAGTTTCTCAAGAACCATTCGAGCCAGAGAATTCGTTTTGGCATCATTGGATAGATAATTGAAGGGGGGGGGGAGCATGACTCCCATGCCCCCCACTCTGGACCCGCCCTTGTCTTCAGGCAACTTTCTGAACGAGCTTGTGATTTTTAAAGCTCCCCGTCCAAGCTTTGGCTAAAATTCCTCGTATTTAAAATTGGTTGGAGCCACACTCATAGAGAAGCCAGAGAGGCACGTAGCTGATCAGGCTGCAGGCATTTAACCAATGCCTTCATCCCATTCACGCAACAAACTAATTAAACCCGAGCGTTACGCAACGCACCTTTGCCGACTTGGACGGATTTGAGAAAAAAATTGTTTATATTGTACCGTACTGTAGTGAGGCGATTTGTTTGAGTGAACGAGATAAATGAGCTCATTCATCTTGAAACTTCGAGCTGTCCGAAGACGATCCATCTAAGCAAACGGTCGAGTAGAAAGTGGAGTAACTGACTGATTCTCTTCGGTGCTGATTAATTATGACCAATTGGGAAAAAATATTGAACCCCACTATGAATTGATCGAGGCGGTAACAAGCAGGACAAACAAAGGGAGTGAAACTGGTGCTCCCTTTGCCACAATTACAGGCGCGAACATGTGTAAGGCCGTGTAATTGTAATCCCTGTAAAAGGATCAAATCCTTTTCGCCCATCTGTTGTGCGGCCGGATTTTCCTTTCCTACCCGCCCTGTATGCATAATTTCCATGTTTCTTCTGTGGGATTAATGCGGGAGTAAATCGAAGAAATCTTCAGCTGTTGAGTCAACGCGCTCTAAACCCTGTGAAGCGAAGATTTCGGACGAATTCAATCAAGTGTTTCATTGCGATTCAATTCGAGAAAGAAACAACCTGGGAAACTCAATTTAGTGCTTTGCTTTCACCCATTTCGAACGGGAAAACAAGCGAAACTTTCCCCCCAATTTGAACCCGGAGGGATCGAAGGCGACTTTGTATTCAGCTCTTTTTCCCCGAAGTTTCCTATTTTGGGTCCGAACTAGGCGCCCACTTGAATAAATGCTCTAGAGTTTTAGGAATGGAAATTAACACTGAAAGGGATGCTTAAATTGGGCGCTTAAGGATCCCAGCCCCTGGAAACCCCTACCACGAATAGCTTAGCAAAAAATAATTTGTTTAAATTTTTTAATTTGGAAAAAAGCCCAAAATCTAAATGGTGCGGCCAGGATCACACGCAACGTTTTGCTGGTTAAAAAAAATTGGAAAAACTGAACAAATTCTGCCTTTTGCCAGCTTAGTGAATAGCCGTCTCCAAGTGGATGGTTTTTCGCAACTGTGCGCTCTTCGTTAAAAATTCACATCTTCCAAACTGAGACACGCAGAGTCTCGCAATTTTCACAATAATTAGACGACACCTCAATGTACACCCAGTGAAAATTTTATGGAAATCGCCTAAACATCTGCATTTTGCGAGCTTAGTGAATGTCGGTCTCAAAATAGAGCCTTTAACCGAACTGCGCTCTCTCACTGAAAAGTTCAAATCTTCGAAACTGAAGCAAGCGGACTCTTGAAATTGTTACGATCGTTCACGAACATTCCATTCTGAAGATAGGGAGAATTTTATAAGAATCCCCTTGATTCGGGCCTTTGGATAGCTTAGTGAAAATTGGTCTCAAAAAGGATAATTTTTCGCAATTGCGCCCTCTTCTTTAAAAATTTCTAGCTTGCCAACCAGAAGAAGGAGGGACCTGAAATTTTCACTGTCTTTAGAACACGCTTGCCGCAAACTCGAGGGAAATTTTCATGGAGCTGGCTGGAAATCCTGCTTTTTGACAATGTAGCAAAATATCGGTCTCAAAACAGATGCATTTTCGAAACTGCGCTCTCTCGTTTAAAAATTGRAATATTCCAAAATCAAGCAGGCATGCTTCTGAAATTTTTTCAGTCTTGARCCAAAGCTCCACTGTRAAGTTGATGAAAATTTCATAAGAATCGTCCTAATTTCTACCCTTTGCTCGGTTACTGGAAATCGGTCTCAAAATAGCTGACTTTTCGCATTTGCGYCCTCCTTCAAACATTCCTAGTTTCCTAACTAAAACAAGTAGGGACTTGAAATTTTCTACTGTCTTTAGAACACACTTTCCCTGAACCATAGTRAAWRTTTTATTAAAATTACCGGAAATTCCGTTTTGTGACARTTTAAGAAATATCGGTCTCAAAATGTATGGTTTTACGCAACTGTGCTCTTTCGTTTAAAAATTCAAATCTTCCAAAATGAGGCATGGAGGCTCCTGAAATTTTTCCAGTCTTTAAACGACACTCCACTCTAAAGATGGTAAAAGTTTCAYAAAAATYKCCCWAATTTCTGCRTTTTGCTCGYTTASTGGATATMGGWCTSAAAATGRCTGATTTTTTGCAATTGCGCYCTCTTCKTTAAAAATTTGYAGCTTRCAAACCAGAAGAARGCGGGAGCTGAAATTTTCACTGTATRTAGAAAACACWWCAGGCAACGAATTYGAGGGAAAATTTTATAGAGGTGGCTGGAAATCCTGCTTTTTGACAAAATAACAWAATATCGGCCTCAAAATAGATGATTTTACAAAACTGCGCTCTCTCGTTTAAAAATTGAAATCTTTCAAAATAAAACAGGCACGCTTCTGAAATTTTTCCAGTCTTGAACCAAAACTCCACTGTAAAAATGCTGAAAATTTCATAAGAATCGCCCTAATTTCTACCTTTTGCTCGCTTACTAAACATCGGTATCAAAATAGCTGATTTTTCGCATTTGCGCCTTCTTCTTTAAAAATTCCTAGTTTTCTAACTAAAACAAGTAGGGACTTGAAATGTTCTACTGTTTTTAGGACGCACTTTCCCTGAACAAGAGTGAAAATTTTATGAAAGCGCAAAATCTAAATGGGTTGGCCAGGATCCCTCACGGTAAAAGTAATGCTAAACTTACCGAAAGCAGTATTATACCACCTGAAAAACAAGAAAAAATATGCTTATTTATATTACATAAACTTAGTCAAAAACCCAGTGATTTTATTGGAAGGACAAGGAAATAGGAAACTGAATAAATCGCTTAAATCGCACCAACGTCTGATTTTTGCCAACGGTCTGAAGAATGGGTCAAAAATTCGTTGAATTCGGCGCTCACAGCCCGCGCAAAAAATAAAAACGCGGAACAGTCCACAGTGTACCTCTGTGATCTGTGGAACTGTCAGTACATGTGAGTTCCCAGGCCCTGGCTCTAACCTCGAATTTTACATAACAATCGCCCGGCAAAAAACATTGTTTTACCTTCACTATGGAGGTAGGTTGAAGAATGGGTCAAAAATCTGTTGAATTCGGGGCTCACGGCCCGCGCAAAAAATAAAATCGTAGAACTGTCCACAGATCACCGAGTACCTCTGTGATATGTGGAACTGTCATTACATGAGAGTCCCCAAGCCCTGGCTCTAACCTCGAATTTTACATAACAATCGCCGGGCGAAAAACATTGTTTTACCATCACAGTGTAATAGTTAATCATTGGAAATGACTTTCATTAATTCAGACGAAAAGCCACCAGCTGATAGTGAAGGAAAACCGTCCACGTCCAGTTCGCACGGTTCAAGTGAGTGGGGTTACGACCTGTACCCGGAACGTCGGGGGGCGAAGCCCCAAGCATCCTTCACCGATGTGTTGCTGGGCAGAAAGGGCCGGGAGAGTTACCGGAAAATCGACTGCGAAAGGAGCGTGTACAGGTGCATTAAAACGAGCCCGCTTGTCCGACTGATGGTGGGCGCTTTGAAGTCTGCAGGCTGCGCCATAGATATCCGGCGGCATATCAGCTGTGAGGAGTGCGCCCCCGAAGTGAGCGGCGGTTACGACCCGATCCTAAACCAGGTACTTTGGCCCCTAAGTGCCCATTAACCGAGTACTGTAAGTCTGCCCTTAGGTTGTGATATGCCACAATAACACCTACAGAGAGGGAATGGTCCAGGGAGTGCTGACCCACGAGTTTATTCACATGTTCGACTATTGCCAGAACAATTTGGACTTTAAAAACCTCGACCATTTGGCCTGTACTGAAATCAGAGCGGCCAATTTGGCGCATTGCAGTTTCGTGTCCGCTTGGTTGAATGGGGACACGTCGGTGTTCCGGTTTAAGCAAACGCATCAGGATTGTGTGAAAAGTAAGGCTTTGAGCTCGATTATGGCAGCGAGGAATATCACGACAGATCAGGCAGTTGATGCGATTGAACGCGTCTTCACCAAGTGCTACAATGACTTGGAACCGATTGGGCGAAGGATCAGGAGGAACAGTTTGGATATGCACAGGGCGTTTGAGGAGGGATTTTACTTTGGGTACGACGATCAAATGAAGTAGCAAAACGACCAGTTGAGTGATCAATGAGAGTGCGAAATCATTAGAGTTCTAGTCGGTACAGTGTGGCATTTATTGGCTGAGAGTAGTTGGAAGAGTAAATGGCGGTTTTTTCCAGTAAAAAGGCAAATTCCCCGAGTTTCCCGCAGTCCTTCCTTAAGTCCTCGCGTTGTCCATCCAGCCATTGACGTCGGTTTGGTGAATGAGCCGTGGTTCTGAGCGGCAGAAAAGTGATTGTTTCCAGCAAACGCCACCAAAGAAACCGGTTCGTAAAAGGTGAACATATTTTTAAGATATTACGTCGTTAATGCGGGCCTAGAGAACTTGTTTCGACGCTGCCAGCAGAGGAAATCAGTCATTAAGCATCATCTGGCTCGAGGGTGAATTTTCCTTTTAGGCCACTTTTGCACAACAAATTCCAGACCAGTTTCTTAGTTAGAATGCACTTGAATCTCGGGTGCGTTTAACTTGCACTAGATCCTGATTTTGCGATTGATTGATTGATTGCCTACTGCCCAAACGCGTCTAAAGACGAACCTTTTCCATGCTATTGCGCTCCTTGAGTCACTATTTCTACCGATTTCGTGGTCTTTTAGCATCAAAACGGTGGCACTGCCAAGTCATTCTGAGGTGGGGACCCCAAAAGCGCGCTCATTAAAAAAGGTTAAGCTTGAAAGGTTTACAGAAAGTCCCAAAAATCTTAGTGCGATCCTCATATTTTTTCTGCTGAGTCTAAAAAGGAACGTTCGCAGCCAAAAGCGCGCTCTCCTGGGTCCATACAACGCGAATAAAACACTGCGTTCTCCTTTGACCAGTTTATTTGTGACGAAGTCAAAGTATATATGTATTATATCACATTTAGGTACAGTTAAACGGTAATCAATATTACACATTATGATTGATATTTCAATTGACATAGAGCATAGGCTGTAACTGTACAGAAAAATGTGCAAATACAGGATGATTTTTGTGCGATTTGATTCCAGTGTGAGGATTTCAGAATGAAATCGAACCGAAGCCGGGTGTTTAGGTTTAGTTAAAGGATGCTTAGGGAATGAAACACTCACCGAAAGCCATTTAAACACGCGCGGTTTTGCCAGTAGCTTCACATGGCTGCAGACAATTATTGTTATAAGCCTAATTAATTACATTTATTTAGATATTTTTTTATAATCCATTTTCGTCGCAAGTTGTTGCTCGGTTATGAATTAACTGCTTGAGGGTAAACGATGCATTGTGCGAATGGGGGCAAAAACGTGCTTGCAATGTCATGCATAACCGATAACAACCCAATGTAGGTCCTATAGTACAAGATATACATATAATATTTAAAAAGCGCCTATTACATATATATTTTGATTGTAAAATAACACCCTGTAGAATTTACGTAAGCCAGGTTGTTTTTCTTTTGACGGATATGCAATTCGGTATTTTGATAATGGTTTTGAGATCGAAACGTTCATTTATTGACTTTCATAGGGATTCAGTTTCGTGTAAAATTCATTTGATTTGATTCATTGTTGGATTCAAGGATTGTCTATACTGACGAACGTGGTTGCCTCTAAATGAGTCAAAGCGTGGGGGATTTATCTCTAAAAGCACAATAGTTAACAATCTTAACAATATAAAATGTGTAGATATTGTTTAACGATATTTAACTTACAATAAGCAAATTCTCTGTTCCGTACATGCTTGGCCAGAGTCTTTGGGTTCCCAAACCACTGCCTGCTCGTGTTTGTCGCCGGACAGTCGGCAACCCACATTACGTCTGCCTGCTATTTGGCAGGCAGTGGCCTGAAATGGCAAAGCTTTCGGCCAAACCCGCTGTATATCAGCAGATTTTCAACAAAGGCTACCGAGTATTATCTGCATATTAAATGAAGAAAAAACGATGTTTAGTGCTAATTTTAACCGAGTGAAACACAGACAGGTAGAAAATTGATGGGTCGAAAGGCCTCAGATAGTTGCTTGCAACTGGTGAGTTTCAAAGCGTCCCGAATAGTCAATAGTTGGTTGATAAATGCTGGAAGAAACTCGCGAGGAAAACTTAAAAACTGGAACAGCGCGAGACTTAGACTAACCATCCAATGAGAACGGATCCGAAAACGTATATACAAAATGGGCGTAAACAGTCAGTGCAAGAATAATTGATACCTAGTGAAGAATGATCATCATCAGTGTCAAATGTGACATACTTTTCGTAGAAAAAATAGAACTAGCACTCGTAATCTTTTAGAGTAGTGAAAGAGTACAAAAACTATGTAGAGCCACTCGAATCGGGAGCCTCTAAATGGTCCGGTTTAAAGGCTCCGATTGCCAAATATTTAAAGTTATATTATAGCTTAGAGTTACCCCGCTTTGCTTTACTTGATGGCCATCCGCTGTCGCTGTTTCCTCAGGAATTCCGCCGCCATTCGGTCAGCGGGGCGCGATTCCAGAATCTGCAGCACTGGATGATCTACACAAAGAAACACAAACAACAACTTCCAAATAAATGCTGCCGATTTTACGCACTTTTCTGGTGCTGCTGCATCAGAACCAACTCGACCGGCTTCAACCCATGGAAATTATCAGCCGACGAGTTCTCAGCTACGCCAGAAATAGAGGCCAGCGCTAGAAAGGCTTCGCCTGCAAAGTCGTTGGCTGTTAGGACATCATGGTCCATTACGGTGAAGGCGACCATCGCACTGGGTGACCTGCCAAGCGGAGCTACTGATGAAAAAATCCTGCTGGAAAACTTCATCTACTGCCGTACTTGCACTGTTCCAATGTGACGCTGAACTCGAAACATTCATCGAAAATCGGATGCAGCGTCTTCTTATGCACGTTGGTCTGCTGCTCGTTGCAGTGCGGAAAAGTGCGCTTCGGAAGCAGCTCAATGATGACAAAGGGGTCACTAAATCCGTTCGGATCCAGAGGAATTATGTCGCGCGCATGCAGCACCTGGAACAACGCGAATAGGATTTTGCCAAGCAAACCCACCAGAACCCACTTCGACGCATAGGGAATCATGATTGAAGTAGGCCCTGACCGCTAGGTTCCCGTAGGGGCTGCTAGTGATGCTGTACTGCTCCTGCAGCCTCTGCCCATAAAACACCTCGATCAGCTTCTCGGTTTCGGTGCGATGGTACTGAAGCTGGCGCTCGATCAAGGAGAAGGTGGCTGAGTGCAGCTGCTCGGTGGTCAGTCCTTGGCCCTCAGCATGGAAGAAATCTACCATCAGTTCCAGGGCGGAGTGCAGTCTTTCATGGAACATGGCAGGCAGGTCTTCGTTAGTGGCGCCACTGTCCATCTGATGGTTTAACTCTGCTAATGTGTACTCCCATACCTGGAAATTCACACTGGACTACTGGAAAGTTTCCTTATGAGGAGTCAACTGGATCCCGATTATTCC